ATTCTTTGCACATGTTTTCTTTAAAGCACGCGGCTGAGCCCCTGTATTCAGCAGATCAGTCACTGCTCACAGCTCATTCTTAAAAAATTACGGAGTGTGAGCTGCTTCAGGCTCTTGTGTAGTGGTCGTGTTCGCAAAGGTGCAACTAAGGAAGGTGAGAAAAAACAGGCATCAAGGTGAGTTACAGGGGTCACACGGTATTCTCGGAACATGATAGGAAGCTCATATTGATTTGTAGAACTGCTAATTGGTATCAGAATTCTGTGAACAGTTCTGTATGGATAATTTCCATTCCAGTAATGAGAGAAATCATTAACTGCATGGCATTTGAATCATTCCTTGAGTACCACGCCTGGTGGCGGGCTGCCGGCGGGCCACAACTGTCATTCATACAAATTGGCATAATATTCAATCGCTGAGCAGTGATGCGCCTAAGCCTCTTTCTAAAGTGACACACTCTGAAAATTTCAAAATCCGGTCGAATATTTCACAATTTGAATTCCGGCCTAAATAATTATGTTTCAACGTTTTTGGAGGTTTACAGAAGTTACTGAAAAGAGGTATGTCCCATAGTTGTCAAATTCCGGACTGGCCCGGTCCGGGAGACATTTTTCAAGCCCGGATTAAAAAATTTTTGAAATTTTTTCACTGGAATTTATTTAAAATCGCTTATTATGCTTCAATAACCTGAAACAACTGATATATTGCTGAATATACGCGTGGAGAAAAAATTTGGCATATTTTCTCGATGTTTCAAAACTTGGGATCTCTGTCCGGGCCTAAGGCCCGGCCCGGCCGGTGACAACTATAGTCTGCCCCTCCCCTAAATCGCGTAAGGACCGCTTTGCCCATTTGTGGGCGAAGCCTACCGGTTCAAATTGCTAATCCTACAGTTACTACATGCAAAAGTTGAATAAATTCTGTTCATTCCGAACACGTTTTCAAAAAATAGGGTTACTGTAGTTACCGTAATCCTACAGTAATCCAATCTCCAAACGTCATAAAATCGGAGCGCGCGGAGGCCAAACAGTTTGCCGCTTAGTATATAGAGGGGTCTTTTTATTTACTATGAGAATCCCTTCAGAAATTATTCCTCCAGAAATTATTATCTCAGAATTTGAAACCCTGACCCATATGGTATCTATTTTCATGGTTAGGTATCGCTATTTCAAAACAATTCGGCGCGAGTGCTTGCAGACACAGAAATAAAATTGAATAAAATATAACGAAATACCAAACTGACCTTCTTTTAGTTTGTGTACACCCATACACCAATGCTCCTTCATCCATTTCATCTCTTTAGTCAGACAAACTGTAAAGGTCATTAATTGATATTTTTAAAAATAGTGATGGCAATACTTACGTGGGATATACACGTCATCAAGGCATTTAGAAATGAGTTTGGCATACCTAAAAAAAATGAGAATGACATCAGCTTAATGATTCATATTCATAGCTCACATTGTATACACACTTTCTGCAGTATAACCCCATCGGTAATTGACTTGAGGAGCCATTTCGAACTTCCGTTGAGAGTAAAGTGAAGGGTTCAATTGATTTGTGTGTTCAATTTATAGCAAAATAACACATGTGTTCCGGTCACTCGGAGGGTGTGCTCCGGTCACTGAGAGCAAATGTCACAAGGTCTTGAAGAGGTTTTGAGAACACCGTAAATAGTGTATTTGACGCATATGTGCATCTGTCTCAGGTGTACTTCTATTCACTAACCAGTTTTTCTGGCTCTGTGAAATATCGAAACCGAGACATTCCGAAACCGTCGAAAATTGGACTTGAAAATTTTTTGGACAGTTATAACAAAAGAAAATATCAGAATGTTTTATTTTAATTGACCGAAACATTTTCTCGAAAAAAAATTTTCCAAAGCAAAATCCTCAAAATCGTAGCTTGTTTTAACTTCCCAGAAAATCTATTGAAATTCAGTCAAAACATTTAAAAATGTCAAGCCTTATTTTCGACGGTTTCGAGATGTCGGGGTTCGAGAAGAGCTATTTTTCTAGACAAAAATATCACTCCATTATTCGCCGGAAAACTCAAAAATGGAATTTTTTTCCATCAAAATTTTTTGCAAAGCCGCTTTCGAAACTGTTCAAATTTTACTTGAAATTATCAAAGAACATCGGCCTCCATTATCGTTTATCGGTTTATCGTAAAAATTGCCTTTCGAGCCGACCTGGGCGAGTATGACGACAAATGAATTCGTACATTCAATTCAATATTCGCTTCGAAAACATCAAAACTTTGAATTTTTGAATTCCCGCCAAAACCAGCGTATGACTTCTGACTTGCACTACTGTTCATGCACAAATACCATTACTCAGCTCTATTAATTTCATATTTTTGTTTCAAGTTTCTTTTTCCAGCTCTACTACCTAATCGCCTCAGTGCTTGCCAAACAAAGCAAGGACAAATCATTTGAAAACTTCCGTCAACACATTGAAAACCTAGTTGAAATGCTGCGAAATCAACTGCAATCCTTCCCATTCGGCCTTGATTATTTGTCCCTTTTCTCTTCGGATCTTCTATTCTCTTCAGTCGAACAATGCTTTGATTTCTACCCCCTTGTTCCAATGAAGGCTCCAGATGAATGCATGAAATTGACGACGAAAATTCTTCAAATGATATTTGAAGTGGCACCTGGATTGGCACATTGTGCACTTCAATTAGCGAGGAATTCATATTTATGTTCGAATACGAATTCAGCAGAAAAATGGATAGAAAAGGCATTGGAAAAGGACGATTCATTGGCAGATGCACATATTCTAAGGGCTCAATTGATATTGGATCGTGGAGGGAAGATCTCAGATGCAGACGATGCATTAGTCACTGGATTGAATTTCAATTTCAAACTTCGAGAGACTTCTTTATACCATTTGATTAAATCTAAGACTTTTAAGAAGAAAAATGAGAATGACGAGGCGATCAAAACATTGAAAATGGCGATGCAAATACCAAGGAAAGAGCCTTCGAATAATTTATTCGTGGCGAAGGAATCGGCGGATACTCATAAGATTTCCGTGCAGTTGGAGTTGATTGACACCTTGCAGCAGACGAAGAGAATTGTGAGTTTTGTAGAGCCGCGACGCGACCGCGACGCACCTGACTGCATTTTCGCACTGCCTGCCGGCCGCTACATCAGAAAGTGCGCCCTATTAGACAATTTCGCTGCTTACAATCTCGTTGCTTGAGTATTCAATGTTCGAGTGTTGGCGGCCGTTTGAACTTTAAGTGGCGCCAAATATTTTTACGTGGCGGCAACACTCTCTCGCTTAGAACTTTAATAATTTGAGGAAATTAATTAAAATACAGCTTTGCCAAAAATAGTCCAATAGGGCGCACTTTCTGATGTAGCGGCCGGCAGGAAGTGTTCTCGTAAAATGTGGTGTCTGATCTGCAAACACCTTCCACGTCAGATTGCAGAAATTTCTCTCTGTGATCTGATTTCATGGCCGTGACGCGACCGCAACGCGTCTGACAGTTTGTGAACTCACTGAGAGTTTGAAAAAGCTTTGGTGTTTGCAGACTCTACGCGTCAGACTTTACGACAATTCAGTTTTCAATGAAAAATGAATTGTCGTAAAATGTGGTATCTGGTCTGTGAACACCACTCGACAGATCGCAGAAATTTGATTCTATAATCTGACTTCGAGGCCGCGACGCGACCGCAACGCGTCTGCTAGCCATGATTATTGATTATTTTAGTATTTATAGTTTGCAGTTTTTGTAGTCTTTGTAGTCTTTGTGGTTTTTGTGGTTTTTTTTAGTTTGTAGTCTGTAGTTTTTAGTAGAAAAAACCCGAAATTTCTCAATTTCTCTAAAACGCAAAATTGTCGTAAGATCTGATGCCGCGTCCGCAAACACCACCACGTCGAATTACACACGCCTTACAATCCCCCAACTTATCTATCACTTCTCCCAAAACCATCTACTTTCTTCCAGCAAGAAGCCGAAGACACCATGGCCGACGCCTTAGCCGAGTGGGCGGGGCAACCGGAACAGGACCAGCTCGTAATCGCTCAATCTCAGTTGTACCTCACAAAGGGGCATGTGGAAAAAGCGTTGGCTATCCTGAAGAAAATCCAGCCAGGACAGTCGAATTTCCATCTTTCACGGATAAAGATGGCCGATATTTATCTGGAGGAGAAGAAGGATAAGAGGATGTTCGCTACTTGTTATAGGTAAGGGCAGGAATAAAAAAAAAAAAATGATTTATCATCGACGGGGGTCGAACCCGCGATGGAAAATTGGAGGGCGGCAGCGTTAACCACTCGGCCACGGCGCGCAACGCAAAGACACAGGCAGAACGCTGATAACGAAATGCGTGTACGCCGCGAACGAAATGGCGCACGTGTGAGGAACAAGATTCGACGTCAAATGAGGATCACATTTGATCCACTTTTCGTACTCCAGCGGTTTTCCGCAGCCGAATCGGGCCCTAGAAATTCCCGTAGCTAGCTAGGCTTTTCGATTTGAGGAAAACATAAAACGGGGGTTCTGCTGTAGTTCATTTATTAAGGAAAACTAATTGTACATAAAAAATAACAATTCAAAATCACTATAAAAAAGATAAAAAAGAAACAGTTATAACTTGTTCCCGAACTAGTCTAGAAGACTTGTAGTTGTTGTCTTCTTTGAAGCTATCCTGGGGCCGTCTTACGAACTGAGAGTGATTTTTCCTATTATCGGGTAATCCAGAAGTGAGTGTACTCACAAAATCGGGTAGAGAACCTGAAAAAGTGTTATTGTTATTCAAATTAATGATTAGTTATTCGAACTCACCGAAACTTTCTCCACTTTTTGCTCCATCTAGCTCAAATCCAGGCTCTTAGCTGACGACGGACGTACTTCTAAAGATACTGTTTTGATTAAGGGTGAATAATTGCGTTCTCTTACATGACGAATCAGAAACTGTTGGTGACCATCCACAACGTCACACATATTCTGTGAGAATTCGAAAGTCCTTCTAAAAATTGCATTTTTTTGGGAGAAAAAATCAGAACCTCTTACTTGTATAGTCCTTTCATATTTCATTTTCATCCCTTTTCATCCTTATTCCAAACTGTCATTTTCTGAAAAAAACATAACTTATTTTTTGTTGGATAACCCAGATACAAATGTTTCAATGCCTTCAAATCAAAAAAAATAGAGACACAAAAAAGTAATGCAATAAGTTCAAAAAATCGTGAAATAAATGATAAATGAAAAGTTGAAAATAAAAAATTCAAAAGGGAGCTTCATCCACGGTTTATTCGCTGTTCACACTCTTCTCGTACACTTCAAAAAGCAGGGGTCCGAATGGCGAGTATGGCTCGCCCAGACGCCCCTTTCATTCTCTTTTGAGACTCAAAGCCCAAGTAAAATGGCCAGCGTTCCTTTTGAGAGCGAAATGAGTGTCAAATTTGACTTTTGATACGCAGTTCGTTCGCTTCTCGTTCTCAGCGTTTTGCCTGTGGAAGGAGGAGGAGGGCATAGACATTGCGGCGGCCGCTTCTCTTTTTCTCTGCCTCTCGCCAGCCACCAGAAAATTTTTTTTTTATTACAGAGAGCTACTGAAAGTCGAGGCCACTCCCGGCTCCTACTCCCTCCTTGGAGATGCATTTATGAAGGTTCAAGAGCCAGAAGACGCCATAAATTTCTACGAACAAGCACTGAAAATGCAATCAAAGGATGTCCAACTGGCAGAGAAGATTGGAGAGGCTTATGTGATGGCTCATCTCTACTCGAAAGCCATCAACTTCTATGAGTCCTCCATGAATATATACAAGGATAAGAACATGCGATTGAAACTTGCGAATCTTTTGTTGAAACTGAAGAATTATGAGAAATGCGAGAAGGTTCTCCGTGCTCCGCTGGAGAAGGACCCGGAGCCAGTTGGCACTGAAAACATTCAGACTCACATTCAATTCCTGTTGTTGTTGGCTGAGTGCCATGAGATGCAGGATAATGTTACGGAGGCGATGAAGGATTTCGACAAGTTAGTTCAAATGTTGATAGTTGGATGTCTGTCTGTGCGTCCGGATATCCGGATTTCCAGAATTCAGGTCTGGATGTCTGTCTGTGTGTCTGTGTGTCCAGATATCCGGATATCCAAATTCCAGTCTGGATACCTGTCTGTATGTCTGTGTGTCCGGATATCCGGATTTCCAGCATTCCAGTCTGTCTGTGTATCCGAGTATCCAGATTTCCAGTAATCCAGCCTGCCTGTCTGTCTGTGTGTCCGGATATCTGGATTTCTAAAATTCCAGTCCGGATGTCTGTCTGTGTGTCCGGATATCCGGATTTCCAAAATTCCAACCTGGATGTCTGTCCGTGCAACTAGGTGTCTGGATGTCTCCCTGTCTGTCCGTCTGTATGTCTGTCTGTTTGTCTGCATGTCCGGTATGCCAGGTTATCAAGAATTTTTTTTTCTGTATGTCCGCTCAACAAATTCCTGACCGTATATCTAGGGTTCCGGATGTCCGCATGTCCATCTCTTTGTCCGGATATATGTATGCCCGTCCGTATTTCAATGAATACGCATCTGTCTGTCTGTCTGTATATCTGTCTGTCTGTTTGTCTGTCAGTCAGCACATCCACTTTATCTCTGGAATCCTCATTGCTTGCAGTGTATCCGGGTGTCCGGATGTCTGTCTATCCGCCTATCTGACTGTGCGAATAACTGCTTGTCCGGGTGTCTATGTCTGTCTGTCTGTCTGTCTGTATTTCTGTTTATCTAGATGTCCGGATGTCTGTCTGGTTTTCTGTTTATCCGTTTGTCTGTTTCCAGATTCTCTGAGCCTGTCAGTATGTTGGGATATCCGGATATCCAGCAGTGCAATCCGGATGTCTGTCTGTCTGTCCGCTGGCCTGTTCGTCTGGATGTCTGTCTATCTGTCTGTCTGTTTGTCGGAAAAAATTTTCTCGAAACAAACCCAACCACGCCCCCCTCATTCCAGAGCCAAAGCCCTCCAAAACCGAATCACCGACAAAACGCAGACGGCTGCTCTCAAAAAAGAGGTTGCCCGTATCTGTAACCTCCAAGCTGAACTTCTCTATCGTCGCCGGGATTTCACCGCTGCCCTAACCGTCTGTAAAGAGGCTCAGGGATATTATGAGACTGATATCAAGGCGAATCTCCTGCTCAGTCGGATTTATAGAGAGGAGAACAAATGGAATTTGGTTTTTCAGCCATGTCAGACTGTCATTTCAGTAGATCCACATAATGATGAGGCTAATTCGGTAAGCCTGTAATAGAAGGGCATGTCTGATTTGATTTTTTCTTCTTACAGATTCTGGCGGACTATTATTATATCAAAAGTGAAGCGAACCATGCGACAACCAGTTATACCACGTTGCTGAATACGAATCCACGTAAGGCAGTAGAAAGAAAGGGAGCAGAGAAGCTAGACTGTCTGCTTGTCTGCGCCCTCGCATCAAAACTTAGGATTTTTTTCAAAAGTTTCAAATTTATAATTCCCCAGAATCCACATATTTTGCTTGGTCTATTCGGAAATTTTCAGCCAATTCAGATTATTTTGAAGGGAGTTATGCGCCTATAAAGTTGCAGGCGGGGAGCGAGAGGGAGCAGAGAAGCTAGACTGTCTGCTTGTCTGCGCTCTCGTCTCAAAACTTACAACGGCCATAACTCTCTTTAAGTAGCCCCGAACGAGCCCAAATTTTGTGGGCTTGCTCATTCTAACATACTGGTAATCATTCAAAAAAAAAACTGGAGGAATTTTGACTTTTTCCAAAAAATAATTTTTTTTTTCAGAACTCCTTAGGATCCCCATATTTTGCTTGCTCTCTTCTGAAATTTTCAGCCGAATGTGACCATTTTGAAAGAAGTTATGCGCCATTGAAGTTACAGACGAGAGAGTAAGAGAGGTCGGACGTCAGACTGTCTGTCTGTCTGCGCCCTCGCCTCGAAACTCGAAACGTCTATAAGTCCCTTCAAAATTCTCCGAATGAGCTCAAATTTTGTGAGCTTGCTCAGGCTTACCTACTGGCAATATTTCAAAATGAAACGAAGATTTTCGATTTTTTCCCAAAATCTTTTTTTTTCAAAAGTTCCAAATTTTTACTGCCCAGGAACCCCCATGTTTTGCTTAGTCTATTCTGAAAATTTCAGCCATATTGGACCATATTGAAGGGAGTTATGCGCCTTTAAAGTTGCAGGCGAGAGAGCAAGAGGGAGCAGAGAAGCTAGACTGTCTGCGTGTCTGCGCTCTGGCCTCAAAACTTAAAATGCCCATAACTCCCTTCAAAATGCTCCAAATGAGCTCAAACTTTGAGAGCTTGCTCAGACTAACATACCGGCTATATTTTTTTTTAGAAAAATTTTCTATTTTTTTCCCAAAAAAATTTTTTTTCAAAATTCCAAGTTTTCAATTCCCGGGTTTTCTCATATTTCGCTTGGTCTACCCTAAAATTTTCAGCCAAATCGGATCATTTTGAAAGGAGTTATGCGCCTTTAAAAATGCAGGCGAGAGAGCGAGTATTAGCACTGTCTGCGTGCCTGCTACCTCACACTCTCTCAATGATTAGTGAAGCTCTTGCAACTAACCCGTTCCGAAAAATTGCTCAGAATAAAAACTGGGACACACTGCAAAGACTACAAATACTACAATCTACGATTTCTTATTCCAGAGCACTGGCACGCCCTGTCCCGGATTGTTGAGCTCTACTGCCGCAGTGGTGAGCAACTAGCTGCGGAGAAATACCTAGAGTGAGTGTCATTTTCTTTACGGGGCCCTTATAATACAGGTAATTTCCAGACGAGCCCAAGAAATCAATCCCAGCTGTGTCAAGGAGTCTGGTTACTGTGTCTGTCGAGGACGTTTCGAATGGTACACCGGGGATCAGAATCAAGCACTTCGGTATTATGCTCGAGCAAAGGATAGTTCCCCAGTTTGGAGAGAAAAGGCCCTTTATTATATGATTGATATTTGTTTGAATCCGGAGAATGAGATCATTATCACGGAGGATAGTATTGAGAATCCTGAGATCAGGTGAGATCCAAAACTGAATTTTCGTAAGATGCGGTGTCGGATCTGCAAACACCGCGTCACGTCAGATTGCGGTCATCCCGAGGCACTGACTGATGTATTAGTGTTTGCGGACGCAGAATCAGATTTTACGACAATTCTTTATTTCTGCTCATTTACTGAAAATCGTTAGATACGGTGTCGGTTCTGCATACACTCTAACTGACACCACCACGTCAGATTGCACACATTTCCCTTTGCAATCTGATGTGTCAACTTATTTCTTCTAAATTCTTAATTGTCGTCAGATATGACGCAG